GAGAGAGAGAGAGAGAGAGAGAGAGAGAGAGAGAGAGAGAGAGAGAGAGAGAGCGAGAGAGAGTAGAGACACGACGAGACTGTGTGTTCACATGTAGCCTGAAATATCTGAATTAATACGCTTCAGGCTAAAAAAGCAAAAAAACTTCATTCACGTAATAATACCAAATGTGAAAGCGGAACAAGCATCGCCACGAGTAATAACCATTCTATTGCGTCATTGGAACTCGCTCTCCCCCCCCCCTCTCTCTCATGGTCGGGGACATGCAGATATAGTTTACTCAGTATCGCTTCCATCGGTTATTACGCTCTATTTATTGCATGACATTGTATGGCGAGTGTCAATATCGGAGCGGGGATGTTATTATCATCGTGCTCATTGCACCGAAAAAAACCTGATAAACCTGTGGCTGTGGCACACGAGCTCAAGGCAATAAGGTCGGCTAAACTTCCAAGATAAAAGAAACTAATAAATTATCATTGTCATCGTCATCAGAGCCATGCTCGTCTCCACCGTCGCCACCTTCACAGCCACCACCATAATAGACGCCATGCTGCCGTCTCCAACTGTCCGCCAGCCTCAACAGCCACCGAACCCCATCAAGAGGCCTGGCTCGTCCTCCCACCGTCGTCACCCTTCAGCAGCCGAACCACCACCATCAGAGGCCATGGCTCGTCCCACCGTCGCCACCTTCACAGCAGCCCAACCACCAATCAGAGCCAGTGGGCTGCGTCTCCCACCGTCGTCAGCCTTCAGCGACCACCACCACCATCAAGAGCCATGCTCGTCTCCACCAGTCGCAGCACCTTCACAGCCACCACCACCATCAAGAGCCATGCTCGTCTCCACCGTCGCCACCTTCACAGCCACCACCACCATCAAGAGCCATGCTCGTCTCCACCGTCGCCACCTTCAACAGCCACTCACCACACCATCAAGACCAATGCTCGTCTCCACCAGTCGTCACCTTCACCAGCCACCACCACCATGCAAGAGGGCCATTGCTCGTCTTCCACCGGTTCCGCCCAACCTTCACAGCCACACACCACCCATCAACGAGCCATGCCTCGTCTCCACCGTCCGCACCTTCACCAGCACCCCCACGCATCAAAGAGCCATGCCTCCGTCTCCACGCGTCCGCCACCTCAATGCAGCACCACCACCATCAAGAGCCATGCTCGTCTCCACCGTCGCCACCTTCACAGCCACCACCACCATCAAGAAGAATAACAACAAGAGTAATGATAATAGGCAAGTAGGCAAGTAGGCAGAACAGCAGCAGCAGCAACTCGCAGCAACAGCAGCAGCAGCAGCAGCAGTAGCAGCAGTAAGCTCGCGAGCAGCAGCAGTAGTAGTAGTAGCTAGTAGTAGTAGTAGTATAGTAGTAAGTATTTGTACGTAGTAGTAGTAGTAGTAGTAGTAGTAGTAGTAGTAGTAGTAGTAGTAGTAACAATAATAACAATGATAATAATAATAATAATAATAATAATAAATGATAATATAATAATAATGATAAAAGCAGAAGAAGAACAGAAGAAGAAGAAGAAGAAGAGAAGAAGAAGAAGAAGAAACGACGAAGCGAAACGAACGACGACGGACGACGACGACGACGAACGACGACGACGACTGAAAGATAATGATGAAAAAAGACGAAAGACGAAAAAACAATAACAACATAATCATCATTGCCAACAACACCAGCAATGTGATAAAACATTTCAACGGAGTGTTCCCACTTCCCAGAGGTTGTTCATTACCGCCCCTGTCCTACCGATGCACAGGAATGCTCGGTGATCAATATACCGACCCGCGTATATTGCTTGCGCCACACATCCTAACGACACAGACTAATTATAATTCGTGCACTCGGCACTCACGCGGCTAACCCGGCGGCTGCATACAGTAAAGCCACGGTAGTAAGTATAGCCCCTTGGATGCAATGCAACGCCACAGGTTACTGCGTGGGCCAGGTAACACGCAGAAGCGTGCGGATGAAGATGCTGCGTAGGCGGGGTAACACACAGATGCGTGCGGATGAGGATGCTGCGTAGGCGGGGTAACATACAGATGCGTTTCTATCGCTGCAAGCTTCAGGTTATTCACCCGTGTCTCATGTTGAATGGCTGGGCTGCTACCAACAGGGTGGATGAATGCAAAGTTTCGAGGTGGTAATTTGTAAGCTATACGATAGCTATTTTAGTAGCCACTTGGTGGGTGCACTGGTAGCTACAGTATGGCTATGCTGATAGCTACAGGATGGTCACACTACTAGGGGCTACTTTGCAGGGTGGGTTTTGCAACTGTTTTCATAGTGTTTGACTACGCACTGCACATAGCTGGGAATTTTATTACATCGTTCGTGCTCGAATCGAACGAGAAACTCGAGCGAAAACAGCTCGATATAATAATAACATCCCCGCCCAAAGGCATGCTCATGCTTCTGTATGTTACCCCGCCGACGCAGCATTCTCATCCGCACGCATCTTTGTGTTACCTGGCCCATGCAGCATCCTCATCCGCACGCATCTGTGTGTTACCCCGCCTACGCAGCATCCTCATCCGTGTGTGTGTGTGTATAGAGCACACGAATTGTGGACGAGTTATTTGTGTGATTCCCACAGCGGCATTCATTGTTGGTCTCGCTCTCTTTTTCTCTGGCAGGACTCGAAACATGCAATATTGTACGAAGACATGCGACAGTGTACGGCCTACTACCTGTCAAATCCGGGCAAGAGTCAGGGCGCACCGACCGACTTCTGCTTCGTACTCAAGGTAAGCGTAGCACGCACGCACTCACACCCACGCACGCACGCACGCACGCACGCACGCACGCACACACACACACATCAGAGGTTAATAATGACAACTGACAATTTGTCATTATTAACCCCTGATATATATACACATGCATATCCATAAATTATATTCATACACACGCACGTTGAATGAACAAAGGAGTGCTTGCCTCGGGAGCAATACTAATAGCAATACTCAGCATTATTACGCATTACATTGCTCGCCGCTTCACGCAGAATAAACACCTCATAATAACGCAAACACCACCAGCCAGGTCTCCGTAGGAACCCGCTGTTTTTTACTTCACTTAGCGACTCTTCCCTCGGGAGATTCCATGCGGATAGAGCGACGCCAAACGCCGCATAATCCGAGGATACGTAATTCTGAGGGTACTCGAAACCCGCGGTGTGCGGCCAATGACTTGAATATATGATTGAATAATTTCATCGGATCTCTATAGTTCACATAAAGATTTATCTCAGTTAGATCGAAAATAAGTTATAAATACTTACACTAACTTATTTTGGATCTAACTGCGATAAACTTTAATATTGACTTAAATATACTCGTGAGGGCAATGCATCCTATCAAGAGCTAATAATACCTTATAATACTTATAATACCTTATAAAAAGGTATTATTAGCTCTTGATCCTATATCTTCCCATGGCACGGCGGCAGCAGCAGCCACCTCGTGTCAAAGCCGACGAGAGGTGAAAACATGGTCACCGTAAAGATTGNCGGCTGTTTTTTAGCTTCACTTAGCGACTCTTCCTCGGGAGATTCCATGCGGATTTAGAGCGACCAAACGCCGCATAATCGAGGTACGTAATCTGAGGCGGGTACTCGGAAACCCCGGTGTGCGCCGCCAATGGATTGAATATATGCATTGAATAATTTCATCGGATCTCCTATAGTTCACCTAAAAGCATTTTATCTCAGTTAGATCGAAAATAAATAAATAAAATATAAATACTTACACAACTTATTTTGATCTAACTGCGAAAACCTTATTGACTTGAATACTACTCGTCAGGACAATGCATCTATATCTTTCCATGGCCGCGGCAAGCAGCAGCCACCTCCGTGTCCAAAACGCCGGCGAGATAAGGTTGAAAACCATGTCACCGTAAAAAATTGCCGAATGCCCCGCCCCCCCAGGTTTGCTTCATTTCCATCCTAAATTAGCTGCGGAAACATCAAAAGGAATATGTATTGTCGCGGATGACATGCGGTGCGACAAAATATGACGTAAAACAGGGAGGTCTCGCCGCGATCGTAATGCGACTTAATTTCACGCACAACGGCACCGTACGCTCGCACCCGCTCGCAGGACCCACACACACGCTCGCAGGCACAGCACACCACACACGCACGCACACAACGCACGCTCGCAGGCACATCACGCACGCGCCTCGCCACGCACGCTCGCAGGCACAGCGACACACGCACGCACGCCGCACGCTACGCAGGCACATCACACACGCACGCACGCAACACACGCACGCTACGCAGGCACACACACACCGCCACGCAGCGCACGCTCGTTCGTACAAACGCGCCGAGCTTCAGATTTCGCTATAATATATATATATATAGATATATATATATTATATATATACTATATATATATATATGGACACCAGATTGTTCGAGTTAGCGAAAGTTAAGACATCGTTGCACAACATCGTCCGTCGTAAACGAAACGCGCGTTTCTGATCCAGGATCAGTAGAGCACGGCGCTCTCGATGAAAAGCACCGCGTATCCATGGTGCATATCAGCGGATATATGTATCTAGCTCCCTATAACGCAGAAACTATACCAGCATAATGTCAAGATGCGTTATCACTGCTGCTGCTGCTGCAGTGTTCGCACGTTCGTCGGAAGGATTACCCTGCGCATGCGCGTCTAGATGTGCGTGTATGCGACGACTTCGATGCCCGCCCCTCACGCGCGCAGCATTCGTGAAACACCGCGTATTACGTCGCTAAAGAAACTCAGTTGCGAGAAAACGACGCAGACTTATCAGAAATGCTCGTCGTCCGATTTCTAAATTAGTTGCCAATGGATTTTCGCCGTTCTTGCCGCTCGCGGTAGATCGTGCCGCCACTGTCATTCGTTGTGTTTGTGTGATGTGTGTTGTATGTGTCGTGCTGTGTGTGTCGTGTGCAGGTGTGTGTTGGGTGTGTGTGTGTGTGTGTGTGTGTACGTGCGTGTGTGGGTGCGTGCGTGACGTGCGTGCGTGCGTGCGTGCGCCGTCGCCTGTGCGTGCGTAGTCAGGGATCTCTACATACAAGTACCCACGGTTATACGCTGAACTAAACTACAAAGTGCCAGTTGTCGCCCACTATATGTATTTCCCCGGGTTCTCCCAAGAGATGATATAAGTATTACGAGTTTAGTCGCGCTAGCGTCAATTAGGCGGCCGAGTTATAGAGTGGAAAAGAAATATGATGAAGGTCAAGGGTCAAGGTAAAATGAAAGCGTGCAAGCTGACCTGGTTTCGGTATTGCCGACACCGCCTTCTCCCAAGCATGTGTAAGGTATACCAAAGTGTGTCGCGCTAGGTCCAAATATAGGCGCGAGTTATAGAGTGGAAGAAAATATGATTAATGTCAATGGTTAAGGCTCAAAAATAAACGTCGTAGGACTGTTTTGGTTAGCCACTAGGTCAATTGTAGGGGCCGCAGTTAAGAGCGCGAAAGGAATGATGATCAAGCGTCAAATAAAGGTCGCTCAGTGACTGGTATTTTGGTACGCTGACTCAGCCTCTCCCCAGATGTGTAAGTATACCAAGTTTGGTAGCGCCTTAGGTCAATTAGGCGGCCGAGTTTCAGAGAGCGATGAAGAAATATGATCAAGGTGATAGTCAAAATAACAGGCTCGCAGTGACTATGGATTTGGTACTCTGCAACACCTTCTCCCCAAGATGTGTAAGTAATACCAAGGATTGGTCACGCTAGGTCGATAGGCGGTCGGTTATAAAAGCGGAAGGGAATTCTCTGCGCGCTGGACGAGCGGCGGCCGGCGGCTGGGCGAGACATGGAAACCATAGCTATCCCGCCGACTGTCGATCGCGGGGATACAATGAAAGAGTCATTCGTATACTGTTGTTTGTAATTACATCCACTTTGCCTCATGATCACTACTGCCCACAGGCAACGATTTATATCCCCGCCCCCCGCTGTCCTCCTCTCCCTCTCACCTTCACACTAAATCACCAGCAGCTTCACCCGGCTAATAATTACGAGCACGCTGCGGAGACAGGGCGCTGGCTGTAAAGGAAGGAAGCTGACATCTACGGATGGATGGACACACACAAACGAGTAGACCCATAGATAACGGACACCGTGCTGCGACGCGCGCGGAGATACCGCGCCGCTCGTGCGTATTGTGTGTGTGTGGCCCACCGCATGTGTGTCCTGGTGTGTGTGTGTTGTGATGTGTGTGTGTGTGTTGGTGTGTGTGTGT